CTGTTATGTGGTGAATGTGCTGACTTTGCCTAGCATGAGTTAACTTTGGCCTGTAGCTTTAACAAGGGCTATTTACATAAAACTAGCCTTAAACTAACTTAGTCTACATATGCTTCTAGTGCTAATTTGGTTTATACTAACTTAATCTATTTGTTAATTTTAGCTTAAAAACAGACAGGTAGGGGAGTCTTAAACTTCCTGGTCCTTGGGTCTGTCTTAGGGAACCACATTCCTACAAGATCACTAATTGGCTTTATTGCAATGGTTGGGGGTGATGTTTTACCCTTACAGGGTACTGTAATAACAGTAAAACTCACGACAGAGAAATTGAATACCGGCCAGTTCAAGGACACAAGGGAGGGCTTGTAAACTGGGCCCTGCCTCAGTTTCTTCCCAGTCCAGTCCCTGCCTTAGAATGGGAGGCAGCATCCTTACCAGCTTGTGTTGCCTGCATGGCCCCGTCAATAGATATATTTAAAGACTTTTAAATCTTCAGACCAGGGGGGCTAGCAAGTAGCGTGGTGGTAGAAGCCCTGGACTCCCACATGGCCAACTTCAGTTCGAGTCCTAGACCTGTTAGCTTGCTTTCTTATCTTTTTTCTCTTTCTTTGGTGAGTGCATGTGCACTATAGAAAATTTAAAAATAATAGTAATAATAAATAAAATTAAATAATTAAAAATTCTTCAGGCTAGCAGGTGGCATGGTGATTAAGGTGACTAGAGGCTATATGGCTGATAGCACAGTTTGAATCCTGGACCTGGTTGTTTGAAGATCATGGTGGGCGCATGTGCACGTATGCATGCCCAAAATCCAGAAAGGACAATTGAGTAGAAGTGATTATGGCATGACTGATCCCTCTAGGAGGTGATTTCCCACTCCTCACTTTGCTGTTTCTCTTTCTGTCTCTGGTGGGTATACAGCAAATGAAAAACAAACCAAAAAATCTCCATTGAATAATCATACCTTTATTTATTAATTTAACTTTATTTTTAATTTGGCCAGACAGAGACAGAGGGAGAGAGAGAGGGAGAAAGTGAGAAAGCAAGCTGCCAGGTCCAGGACTTACCTGTAGTCAGCCATCTGGGAATCCAGCACCCTAAACTACCACGCCACCTGCCAGCCCCAATAACTTTATTTTTTTTATACTAGATCCTTTCTCTGGGTTTTAACTACTTTCCTATAAGTGTAAATAGTAAATTTGAGCTGTTAGTTTGTTGTTTACAGGAGTTTTTTGTTTTTTGGGTTTTTTTAGAGAGGTTTGAGAGGTTTTTTTTTTGTTTTTTGTTTTTTTGCTATGGGGTGGGTCCGCTCGCCAGACAGACAAAGAGAGACAGAGAGACAGAAAACGAGAAACCACCCTCTGGGGGGGATGGCCACGCCGCAATCCCTTCTCCTCCATTCTCCTCTCAGGTTCTTGGACACGCATGTACACGCACCTGGCATAAGTTTAAACCACTGGGTCAGGGACTCGAACCACAGTTGATTACATGAGAGTCCAGTGACATAGCCATTACGCCACCTGGTGGTTCCACAGGAGAATTTTTTTTTGGGGGGGAAGGTTTTTTGCTATAGGGAACGTGTGTTCACCAGAAAAACAGAGAGAGACAGAGAGACAGAAAGGGAGAAATCGCCCTCTGGGGGGTTGGCCACACTGTGATCCCTTCTCTCCTATTTTCCTCTCAGGATCTTGGGCACGCACGCACTCATGCCTGGCATGAGTTTAAGCCACCAGGTCCGGGACTCGAACCACAGTCAACTACATGGGAGTCCAGCAACATAGCCATTACACTAACTGCTGGTCCCATGGCTTGCCAGTTTTTTCTTACGTCCTAGTAGTACTTAAAAATGCCTCATAATTCTATAATCGCATATCATTTCTCTTCTGTAATTTAAAACTTTTCATATGAATTTTTTTGTAAGAGAGGTTTTTGCTATAGGGTGCATGCACTCACTAGAGAGACAGAGAAAGACAGAGAGACAAAAAGCAAGAAATTATCCCCTAGGGGAGATGGCCACACTGCTATCTTTTGTCTTCTAGTCTTCTTTTGAGATTTTGGGCACACACGTACACACTCCCAGCATGTTTTAAGCCTCTGGATCCTGGACTCAAACTGTGGTCGACTACATGGAAGTCCAACAGCATAATCATTATACCATCTGCTGGTCCCAAATTGATTTTTTTAAAGAATTATTAATTTATTTAATTCAATTTATTATTATTTTTCAATTTGACCAGAGAGAGAAAGGGAAAGGGAGAGGGAGAAAGCAAGCTGCCAGGTCTGGGACTTGAACTGTAGTCAACCACCTGTGGGAATCTAGCACCTTTAACCACTACGCCACCTGCTGGCCCCTCAAGATGAATTTTTAAAGAATGTATTTCTTTTACAAGACGAGAGAGTGAGGAGGCAAGGAGTTACCTGACAGTGTCTGAACAGGGTGCATTATTCCTCCCTTCCCCTGCTGCCAGCCAGGATTACAGGTGCATGTAGGCACAGCTCATGCATTTACGTCCACCCAGGATCCATACCCAGGCCTCTTATGTAGTATCAGTCAGTGGTAGGTATCCTCCGACTGCACCACTGTAGCTGAGCCCGAGATCATTTTTATTTTATTTATTTATTCCATGAATGAGAGAGACAGAGAGAGAGAGAGAGACAGAGGAAGAGCAACACCAACATGGGTCCTGACACAACGATCCACCTCTAGACTCAGCAAGCTCAGATCATGGACACCCACATACAGGTGCATTTAGAGAGGTTTTCTGGAAGAGATTTGAACAAAGTTCATGGGAAGTAAAATTAAAGGATGAGTTTATGTTGGTGCCAACAAATTTTGAAATGTTGGTGCCAACAAATTTTGAAATTCATGCATAATTTTTTTGTAATGCACATTTTCCAAGAATTTTTTGGAGACACCCCCCCACACACACACACATGTATTTGCAATGAAGTAACTCATCTGCTTACTGTGTGGATCACCATTATGTGAACAGAACGTTCCCATTCTCGTGCGGCATGTCTTTCATGGCTTATTCCTATTTTCTCTCTCCTTTCCATTTCCAGTAACTGAGTCCCAGTTTTACCACATTACTTTGGTGTCCCTCATTTGCTGTGTAATTTCATGCCTCATCCATTGACTCATGCTGCCTTATCTAGAGTGCCCTTTTTGCCCCTCCCACTTAGTCTATCTTTCAAAATAGGGCACTGTCTTTGCAGCATTTCCTGAGCTTCCTAGCAAGAACTAACTGTCCTCTCCTTTGTGCCGTTACTGTACTCTGTTCCCTTCATCTGTAGAACTAATGAATTATACTTTGCCATTCTTATTTGTTTTCATATATCTCTGCCCCCCCCCCACTTAAATATAGAGCAGAATTGTCTTGTGTTTAAATTTTCAGCTTTTCCCAGGATAGTGCCTATGACTTATTAAATACACTAAGTGTTTATGATCTTACTAATGGATTGAGTGAGCAGGTCAGTGTGAACAGAATACACGGCTGTACATTGCTTAATGATGGGGATGTGTTGTGAGAAGTGGGTTGTTAGGCAGTTTCTTTGTTGTGTGAATAGTATAGAGTATACTTACACAGCCCTCGGTGGTACAGCCAGACGTGACAAGGCCTGTGTGCTCCTTAGGGAACCATTGTTGTATATACAGTTTGTTAACTGAGACAGCTTATGTGGCACCTGCTTGTAATGTTTTCTGAACTTTGTTTTTTTTTGTTTGTTTTTTTTAATAGGAAGGTGCAGCAGTGTCAACAATTGGAAAAAAAGAAAATGTTACTGATGTTATTGAAAATGCTCCACAAGAACAAACAAAGAATGACAATTTGACATATGGTGATCGAGTGCAAAAAAAGGATAGACATGGTATGTTAGTGAAAATCTGAAAAAAAATTTGTGCTTCAATGTTGTTTTAAGAAATAGACATACAGATCCAGATATGACATCTATTTCTTTTAAATATTTTTCTTTTGTTATCTTCCTTTATGTTACTAACTTCTTGAATCTACTTCAACACTCTGAATTTTCTTTGCTATTTTATTTTATTGAAATATTCATGAATAGATATAGACTCATATACATATTTCAAATTTATAGTAATAAATGTTATCCTGTAACATACCTGTGACTATATTTTATAGATATGATGTCCACATTAGGATTAGGAGAAGAGGAGGATACAGAATCGCCTTGGGACTCTGAGGTACTGTCTATGTTGTGATTATTTTTATTTATTCACTTTTTAAAGAATTACTTAGTCATTTTTATTTATTATTATGTTTTTTAATTTTACTAGAGAGAGAGAAGACTGAGAGAAGGAAAGTGAGAAAGCAAGCCACCAGGTTCAGAATGGGAATTGTGGTAGGCCATGTGGGAGTCCAGTGCCTTCACCACTACCACACCACCTGCTTGCTCTGTAATTGTTTTGAAATATAAGCATTGAGTGATGTTAAAACATGAAAGAAGGTGCTTTTGCTTTTACTTTACTTCTTCATGTATGTCTACAAGGAGTTATTTCCTTATATTTTTCAACCTATAATTAATAACATAGTTATGTGCTAATATTACTGCTGTATATTACAATTCTACTAATCTGCAAGATTCATTGAATGAGGTCATTATAGGAGAGAATAGAAAATTAAAGCTTAGAGGTCATAAGAAATCAGTTTGCTTTCTAACGTTTATCTAAAATCTGAAGATTTATTCCAGGTCATTCTATGGTCAAATTATGATTCTATAGTATATATGGATATATAAAAGTCCTAATGACTGGGGCCAGCAGGTGGCATTGTGGTTAAGGCACTAGACTCCCACATGACTGACCATGGTTTGAATTCCAGACCTGGAGGCTTGCTTTCTCACTTTCCTGTTCTCTTGCTCTCTCTATCTTTACAAAATTGAAAATAATGATAATAAAATAAAATAAAAATTCTAATGCTGTTAGAACAGTCACGTGAATTTTATAACTTGGGATATGTTAAGTTTCAGTATACTGTTATTGGAGTGTCATATAGGAATATAGTGATTCGGCACTTGAGACCTTCCTAATGAGTTTTTGTTTTGTTTTGTTTTAGGTTTTTGCCATAAAGTATGTGTGTTCACTGGGGAAAGATAGAGAAGGAAAGTGAGAAATCATCCCTCATGGGGGATGGCCACACCACAATCCCTCCTCCTCCATTCTCCTCTCAAGATTTTGGGCACTCCATACACACGCTTGGCATGATTTTCAAGCTGCTGTGTCTGGGACTTGAACCATGTGGGAGGCCAGTGCCTTAACCATCACTCTGCCTGCTGGCCCCTCCTAAAGAGATTTTAAATGGTTTGGCTTTGAGTCAGTTTCTGTTATTGAGTACCAAACATGTACTTAGACAATTAATACTGAATCTCCAAGACAAGGGCTTACACTATAGAGGTAGGAACAGGAAAACAAGTAGCAAACACTTATAGGCAATAATCAGTGCTTCATATAAAGAAAACAGAAATGTTAGTTTAGATAATATTGAGGGAGTTTGTAATTAGGATAGAAATGGGAGTGGGACTGGAATTCTTTAGTCAGAAAAGATCTTTGAGTATGACATTTAAACTGCTAATTAAAGGATGAGAGGAAGCCAGCCATATGAAAAGTCTAGGAAGGGGATGTGCTAGACAGAGAAAACTGTTCTAATAGATCACATCTGGTCATTTTACCTTGGAATGACCAGGGAGTGGGAAGTGGGGTACTCATCATTAAAATCATTTTTATTGTTATTATGTGTAGAAAATAAAATGTGCAAACAAGTGTGTTTGGCATATTTTAGATGCTTAATAAGTAAAGGGTCTTATTCTTCTTATTTATAGCTTGCTATACTTTTTTTTTTTAATTATTTTATTTATCTTTATTTATTTAAATTTGACCAGAGAGAGAGAGACAGAGAGAACGAAAGCCGCCAAATTCGGGACTTGAACCACGGTCGACCATATGGGAGTCCAGCACCCTTAAACACCACGCCACCTACTGGCCCCATGGCTTGCTATACTTTTTGAAGTAATTTCTTAATTGAGAAAAAGTTGCATACTATATCTAATATTTGCTATTATTTAAATATAATGTAAAAGTTTTTCTTTGTCATTATTCTCAACTACTTTTGCTATTAGTCAAATTTTTATCAAAGTATATCCAGTGGACTAGCAGTTGGCATAATGGCTATGTTGTTGCACTCCCATGTAGTTGACCGCAGTTCGAGTCCCGGACCCAGTGGCTTAAACTCACGCTGGGCGTATGTGTGTGTCCAAGATCCCGTGAGGAGAATGGAGGAGAAGGGATTGCAGTGTGGCCATCCCCCCTGGGGGGATGATTTCTCACTTTCTGTTTCTCTGTCTCTCTCTGTCTTTTTGGAGAGCGCATGTGCCCTTTAGCAAAAAACTTTCAAAAAAAAGAAAAGTAAAGGAATCACCCCGCAGGGAGAAGGCTACACCACAATCCCTTCTCCTCCATTCATCTCCTAGGATCCTGGGCACACATCCACATGCACCCAGCATGGGTTTCAAACCACGAGGTCCAAGACTCAAACTGTCCTTGGTCATGTGGGAGTCAGTGACATAAGCGCTACACCATCAAAGAATATTTACAGGCCAGCTGGCAGTGTGGTGGTTAAGGTGGCTGGATCCTGTGCAGTTTTTGAATCCCACACCCAGAATCTTGAGAAACACTCTGGGCATGCATGCAAGCTTGCCCAAATCCCACAAGATGATGAAATGCAAGAGGAAGGGCCGCAGTTTGACCATTTCCCATGGGGGATGTTCTCTCACCTTCTCTCACTATCTCTTTCTGGTGAGCATGTGCCTTCTGACAGTTTAAAGAAAAAAATTAGGTATTTTTCAAGTCCTTGTTGATCTAAACGAAGCAACTTTTACAGTGTTCTGTTTGTGATCAACATGACAAACTTAATTTTCTTATCATGACAAGTACCTTATTTTAATGCTAAAAAAATTCAGATATTAGAAATATTTTAGGACCAGCCAAGTGACATGGTGGTTAAGGTGACTGGATCCCACATGGCCAACTATGCAGTTTGAGTACCAGACCTACCTTGAAAAACATGCTGGGTACATATGAGTGCATGTCCAAAATCTCAGGAGGAGAGTGGAGAAGGGATTGCAGTATGACCAGTCCTCCCTGTGGGACAATTTCTTGCTTTTTCTCTTTTTCTTTCTATCTCTCTCTGGTGAACACACATGCCCTATAGCAAAACTTAAAAACAAATATTTTAAATGTTTAATGCTGTAAATATTATAAATTTACTTATTGAAGAATTTATTTATGTATATTTTTGGAATTATATTTTATTTATTATCATTATTATTTTTTATAATTTGCTATAGGGTACATGTGCTCACCAGAAGAAGTGAAAAAGAGAGGGAGAGAGAGAGAGAAAGCAAGTCACCAAGTCTGGGAGTTGAATCGCAGTCAACCATTTGAGAATCCAGCACCTTAACCACCATACCACTTGCTGGCACCATATATGTATATGTATATATTTTTAAATATCTTATTTTTGGTAGGAAATGTAAAGTAGAGCTATAGGTATTTTGAAGTTGTTTCTTGTTAAAATATGCATGTGTTAGTATTTTTTCTGTGAATATGTTACTATCTTCTGTGCTCTGTTTAGAGAGGCAGTAGCTATATGAAGATGAAAGATAAGGTTGATGTAGAGAGCATATATGAGGTTCTCTATTGAAGTGTTTTGGTTTTCGGTATATCTTATGTCTCATCGCTTTTAAATGGAAAAGTCAGATATTTTCTTAGGAAGTGATTAGGAAATCTTTGTCCAACTCATTATTGATATTAATTTTAACAGAGCATCTCCGATAGTATACCATTGAAGTATGCAGACCCCTTCTCTGGGGCTGTAGAGAAAAAAGGAAAAAATCAAGTAAATGAACAACTGGAAGGTAAGAATTGTATTTTATAAAAAAAAGTCATTTAATAGAATTCACCCCCTGGTGGGGATGACCATGTTACAGTCCCTTCTCCTCCATTCTCCTCTCGAGAGAGTTTAAGCCACCGGGTCCAGGACTCGAACTCCGATTGACTACATGGAAGTTCAGCGACATAGCCGTTATGCTAACTGCTGGTTTCAGATAGAATGTTATTTAAAATGTGAATACTGATATATTCTAATAGCCAAAGAAAGTCATCTATTAAATGCATAGTAAAGAAAAAGAGAAGTAAAATGCTGAGAAGTTGCATATCTTAACAGGTGTCAGCAACAGAGTAAACAGAGTGCCACTGAAGGAGCTAAACCATTAGTTCTCTTTCAAGATACCGTAAAACCTGAGGAGAGTCAGAAAGTAATGACTAGGAAAGGAGTAACGGAGGGAATGGAGAATGAGAAAGACAAGGAGTGCAGGGAGTAAATTAAGGAAGAAGAAGGTGCACTTAGTGGAGAGTGGTAAAATTCTGGGTGGGTTATGATGCAGTTTCATGTAGAAAAATATATCTTGACTTTTCCAACAACCTAATAAAATGATCCCTTAGAAAAAGGAAGAGTGGAACTTAGAAATATGGGAAGAATATAAAGTGAGCCTCCAGTACCAAAACTTGTCAGAGAATAGAGCACACTTTTCCTAGCCTTTCTGTTTTTCTCACTATTGGCAAGGCTTTGAGGATTGAGATAACCAAGTGTGCAGAGCTGTGTTTATCTAATGTAGATGAACAGATAGTCGTACATGTATATAATTTAATGTTATATAAAACATGGCTAGTACAGTGTGGGAAGAGGGTGGGAAATGGCAGAGGGTGAGAAATAGGGAATCAAAAAATATATATAAGAAACAAGAAATAGAAGATTATTTGTCAACAATAATATGTAGGATTAAGCCAATATACAGTGTATTCTGGATGGGGAATCACATTTTGTATGCTGTAATGATGTTCAGTGAATGAATCTAAAATAAATTAATTTAAAAAAAAAAAGCATGGCTAGTTCATAGGATAGTATCATGTGGGCCAAAATAAGATAACTGGACAGAAGAAAGTAGGGTTCCTAGGGACAGGATAGGGAAACTTTAGCCTGATAAAAAGTTCATTGGAAAATCTATGAGTTCTAATGCAGTTTCAGTTTGGGAGACATAGTAGAGAGGAGTTTAGATTCCAAAAGGCAAGTTCAGGTGAAGGAATATGGAGGCAGACTCAGCAGAGACCAGAGTTTCTCAAACTGTGACATTGTTAAAGATGCATATTCTGATTGAGCAGGTATGGTATTCTGCATGTCTAACAAGTTCTCAGGTGATGCCAGTGCTGCTGGTCCTCAGACCACGCTCTGAGTAACAAGGATAGAGACATCCCTTCAGAGAAATCTAGTTCTTCCAGAACCACTGGATAATTGTTCAAGACATAACAGCATTAGGGGAAAGCGTTATTTGCTTTTATTTCTCAGGGTGTTTCTCCCTAGGAGAAAGGAGCAAAGAGGGAAAGAAATAGATATTCTAGATGTAAGATGCCGCTATGAAAGAGGGAAGAAGTAATAAGAATAATCCTTAAAAACAATGTCAAAATGGAAGAATCAAGATCACAGATAAAGAGATTACTTTTTTTTTTTTTTTGAAGAGGTTTTTGCTATAAGGGCGCATGTGCTCGCCAGAAAGACAGAGACAAAGAGATAGAAAGTGAGAAATCACCACCCACGGGGGATGGCTATGCCTCAATCCCTTTCCTTCCATTCTCCTGTTGGGATCTTGGGCACGTATGCACACGCGCCCAGCGTGAATTTAAGCCACCCGGTCCAGGACTTGCACCATGGTTGACTACATGAGAGTCCAGTGACATAGCCATTACATGAACTGCTGGTCCTAAGAGATTACTTTTGATAAGTGAAGAGGATGGTGAAGGAGGAAGGAGACGGTGAGAAAGAATTTAGCTAGGTAATTTTGAATTAATGTTGAGGTAACTTATGAGAATCCACTTTATTTGGTTTCAGTATATTCTCCATTTTATTTGGGTTTAGTATATTCGTACTCATACAGTGGGTGAGGTTACTGCTGCTCCAGAGATTACTGGCAAGAGGGGAAATGGTAAAATTAGGGTAAACTGCAGCCAGCCTGTCCTGACCCACAGGACAGTTGAACAGGTTTCTTGAGGGAAGGAGTGAGAGACAGGACGGGACAAGTGGCACAGAGTTACAACACGGAGACAACACAGTGTTACAACTCTTCAGGGTCTTTAGGGTCGTCTGGAGATTGTGGGCCAACCAGGGATCATGGTTATATACATGTTGGTGGGCAGTGATTGGTTGAATGAAGGATTGTAAAAGGTGGGTTATGATTGGTTGCTTTGTGGACCAATCATGAGGTGCCGGATATGCAAATCTGAGGGATTCTGAACTCACCGATTTGTTATGGGAAGTGACCAATCAGAGTATGGTTTTGAAGGTGAGGTTTTGAAGGGGAGCCAATTGTGGCCATCATGGGAAGTGACCAATCAGAGTATGGTTTTGAAGGGGAGCCAATTGTGGCCTTTGGCATTGTGTAATTGTTTGCTTTTTGAGAAACTGAAACCTAATGACCTTGGCAGACTCGCTGGTGTGCAGCCTCCCACATGTCCCCCTTTTCTGTTTTAATTTGAGAGATGAGGAAAAGGCCTGGGGGAATCCTACCTGTCTTAGGTTGGAGTCGTTTATGGAACAATACGTCCATTCTTACCCGTCATTGGAGAGTCCCATAGCTATGATGGGCCTCCTGTCTTAGGTGGAAGGACTGAACAATTATTGGGTTCATCAAACTCTCTTACCCATCTTTGGCTAACCGATTCAGTGTCTCAGGTGAGACCAGTATAGGGGTGTTGGTCTTCCATCTCCAATCTAGTATAGTGGACCTGGATAGGCCGCATAGTAAGCGAGTCAATTTGTTGTTTGAGGAATGACATGAGCTCATTAAATATAACAGGTCCCAGTGAGCAAACAATTAAAAGGCCGATGGATGGGCCCAGTAGGGGGAGCAGGAAAGGGAGGAGACCGTTCCAGGCAGACCTGCCAGAAGGAGATTTAAACCTCGTCTATTTTGAAGAACCACCTCAGCCGGGGAATCTAGTTGGTCTGAGATAAGACCCTCAGTGACTTGGCATAGATGGAGTGAATAACCCAAGCCAGTGGAGCCAACAGCTCTAGCTGCAGTTAGGGAAACATAAAGGCTGAGAGTTTTGAGATTTAAGAAGGCTAGCTTGGGCTAATGTTTGCCAGTCAGACAGTGTGAGCCAGCCCTCGGCAATAGCTTCAACTATAGCTAAGGTATATGGAGCAGTAGCTCCATATTGGGCAACCGCTGCCTTAATTTCTTTTACCATTTTAAAGTCAAACCCGCTGTGATGGCGCAAAACCTGTCCTTGGGGATCTGTAGTTTCCGTAACAGGGAATGTCTCAAAGTCTGTTGTATGTGATCCCTGAACTAGTTTTGTTTCTTTGTCCGTATTGGTTTTTAGTTTCTCTAATTGTGATACAAAAGGTATCTGCATGGATAATATTAAACCCACAATGTAGAAAGTGCTATATGGTGTGTAGACTCTTTTGCTATATCTCTGCATCAGTAACAACACAAACACATGCAGTGGAATAAAGTTGATGATAAACACATAACCACCCCAAGCAGAGACCATATAGAAATATGATAAACAGCAGCACATTGTCCAAAAAAACTGACCAAGTTTTTACTGATTTTACTCACAAGTAGTATGTGAACTGAAGTGCAAAAATAGCAATGCCTTCATTATCAAAGATCCAGCTACTGACTGAGATATATAGCCTGGTACAATTGCAATAAAACAAGCAGCTAAAAGTCCTGCTCCTTGCTTCCAAAGTACTAGTTCCCGGCGTTCGTTTTCTAATCGAATTTGTTCTTTTAATTGTTTTATTTCATTAATTATTTTTTGTTTTGGGTCAATAAGAGGCAGTGCTGAGGGGGTAGTGTTGTAGGGTGGCGGCCGTTTTTTGGAGGGCAACCATTCAGCCTCAGCCTCTAGGATTTCCTCCACTGAACTAGTTGATGACTCATTTTTCTTTGACTCTTGTAGAGCCTTAAGGTTGTTTTTCTTTTTAAATTTTTTGGATTTTTTGGGTTTTGTTTTGCCTTCGGGGCTTTTAACTTCTTCCCCACAATCTAGGGAAATAAGATCCTCTCCCTGTTCATTTTCAATTTTAGAGTCCTTGGTTAGAGTAGCAAGGGCTTCTTTTAAGTCCTGAGCGAATAGTTCATGCTGACTAAGCTTTTGTTCGTGCTGACTAAGCTCTTGTTCGTGCGGACTAAGCTCTTGTCCCATTATTACCCTTATTACTTATGAGTAAGCAACTTTTGTTACTTACCAGGATGATTCTCTGCTGTCCTCTTCTGCGGCCTTTCTCGGGACGATTCTCTGCCATCCCCTCCTGGACGATTCTCTGCCGTCCTTTCTCAGGACGTCTCTGCCATCCTTTCTCGGGATGATTCTCTGCCATCCCCTCCTGGACGATTCTCTTCCGTCCTTTCTCGGGACGATTCTCAGCCATCCCCTCCTGGATGATTCTCTGCTGTCCTTTCTCAGGACGATTCTCTGCTGTCCCCTCCTGGACGATTCTCTGCTGTCCTTTCTTGGGACGATTCTCTGCTGTCCTTTCTCGGGACGATTCTCTGCCGTCCCCTCCTGGACGATTCTCTGCCGTCCTTTCTCGGGATGATTCTCAGCCGTCCCCTCCTGGATGATTCTCTGCCGTCCTTTCTCGGGATGATTCTCTGCCATTCCCTCCTGGACAATTCTCTGCCGTTCTTTCTCGGGACAATTCTCTGCCGTTCCCTCCTGGACGATTCTCTGCCGTCCTTTCTTTGGGACGATTCTCTGCCATCCCCTCCTGGACGGTTCTCTGACGTCCTTTCTCTGGTGTTCTTCACTAGATCCTTCATACTCAGGTCCCTGTTTGGGCACCATG